AGCCTCACTGACCTGTCAATTCTGTTACAGTATGTAACCGCATATGTCAAAATGTGGATAGAAGAGTAAAACAAAAAATGAAAAATGTATTGCAGTTGTGTGTTATGGTTATAGTTATTATTATGGTTATTATGGATATAATAATTATAGAGTGGCTTGACATGCTTTCCTCTAATTTTTAGAATGGCAGGAAAGTTAATGGTAATCACACAGGTAAAGTAAAAGTGGAAGTAGGCCTTGAAGGATATGGAAAGCCAAACTTTTTGGTTAGTTTTGAAAGACTCCTGTAGTTTTTTTTTCCTGTGTTCCTTTAGGAAGATTTCCCTTCATGTCCTGTCTCAGATACACATCTAAAATTGTGAGGTCTGCTCAAATCAGACAGCTGTCACCAGAATAATATTCCCTATAGGAACATTTTGTATATGGTTTAGTGTCACTTTAAAATCTTTATCCCAAAAGAAAACAAATGTTTATGTAATTGCCTTAAAAGCAATAGCTGGAGTTAGACTTTAATTTGTTAGTCACCTATATAAAGTCCATCTAAATCTACTAGTCCATCTAACACTACTCTCTCTACAGGTTGATAATTCTGCTGTCCAAGGGTGAGCATGTTGCTTCTGCATAGATACAGTAGAGCAGTGAGTGTAGCCACCCTAGTGCAGGAGCTATGTTAGTGGCAGGATCACCAGATGAAAATAAAGGAGAAAACTAATGCCACCAGCACATATAAAGACTGGTAAGCTGCAACATATTTCAGTTTTGTTTGAGTTTAGACATAGCTAAAAGGGTAGGTCAACTTTACTAAAAAAAAACTGCCTATGCAGATAACGGGCATTTGTAAGTAAAAACAAACTGTGCAGTTTTGACCAAAGCTGAATAATGCCCTTCCTATAGGTGTGGACCATTTATGTACCTCATAAAGCCTGACTAGAATTACACAGAAACATAGAAAAGTGATGGCAGAAAAAGACTGTGGTCCATTGAGTCCACCAATTTTTTTGTTTTTGTTCACTTTTTTTGTCTGTGGGTATAGATCTATGCTTATCCCAAAAATGTTTGAAGTTATTTACTGTTGACTGACTCACTGCCTCTGCTTGAAATTTATTCCAAGCCTCAACTACCCTTTCAGTAAAATAATACTTTCTGAGATTACTTTTGAACTTTCCTCCAGTTAGTTTAAGGTCACGTCCCCGTGTTCTTGATTCTTCTAGGACATTGCTAACGATGTTGCAGAGAGAATCCTAGTGTTACTGCTTATTTCCACCATCACAGGAGTAATACTAGCCTTCTCTTAATGATGTCCTTAGCAATATCCTAGCAGTTTTCCAGTAAGGCTCCATGAGGTACGGAAATGGCCTACACCTATGGCAAGTGCATTATTCAACTTTGGTCAAAGCGGCACAGCTTGTTTTTATTTACAGACTTCCCTTATTTGCATAGGCAATGTTTGGTAACGGAGAACCATGCTATGGAATAAACACTCCCCATGATACTTGAAAATAATACTGGTTGAGAAATGTATGTTTCTTGACGTTAAAAATGCATATTTCTTGGTTTATTCCCTCCTCTATGCTCCTCCACACACTGAAGTCAATTTTGTGGATGCTACTGCCCTTGCGTGTAGTTACTATGCATCCATGGTCTGTGTACTAAAATTGGAAGGAGAGCCTCTCCATACATGTACAAAGATTGGGCTTGTCTGGAAAGCACCCTTGTCTTGGGAAGAGGGAGAAAAGTGCTGTCAATCAAGAAGTCTGTTTTCTGTGTAGAATGTTGCTGGGAATCAGGGGGATGCGCTGTAACCCTCTATATCTCATCTTATACAGCACACAGAAAAAAGGGATTAAAAAAAAACAAAACACGCTTTGGGACCTAGGTGAGATATCACCCCACCCCCAAAAAAACAAAACGTGAGACCTCTTCATTAAAGCGGAGTTCCACCGTTTTTCCCATGTTCTCAATCCCCCCCACAGTGTATATTCCTAAATGGATTTTGTGTGTGTGTGTGTGTTTCTAAATACCTTTTTTTAGATATTCAGACAGCACTTTCTGTCCCAGCCACGTAGGCGATGATGCCATTAGGCAATTTCCATTGACTCCTGGAATATCAGCGTCATCTATCCCAAGCGTCTTCAAGAAGCCTAAGCCTACAGCACCTGCCTTCCAGGTTATCCTTTGATTGACAGGTTGCCGTAACAATGGGGCAGAAACTTCTGCCCCGCCGCCATTGCTATGGCAATCTGTAATGAACAAACTGCGCCACACACTGTCGTTACTGTGCAGGTTTGAGGTGAATGCTGGGTAGCCAGCTGCACCTAATCCCAGAAATACACCTAAGTGGGCTTCAGATGCCCACATCCTCGATGGCCCCTGCCTGCTTCCGAGAACAGGTAAAACATGATTAATTGAAGTAATAAGCATGAAGCCAGTCTTAACCGTATACAAATATGAATGTAGAAGTTATAACAATCACGGGGAAGCTTTTATAAAAAATTGATTATGGGGAATGGAGCCCTGCTTTAAGGGCTATTCCAGTTGAAAGAAATGGTTTAAAAGTCATGAGGGCAAGCAGCAGGTGGTGGCAGTGAGCATTCGTAGTACCCCTTCACTTCTCTAACCTCTAATATTTAGACAAGCCTGTTACTAGCTAGTGCATAAACGATTACTGGATGAAATTGAAGGTCAGATCAGACTGTGCATGTCATTTGGCTTTGTACTGGCAAAAAATGTTATCATCATTAATCACATGGAACAGTGCAACTGGCATATATTAAGTGGCAGAGTGGCCAGGAATGCCTATTTTACAGGAATAGCATAATTGTGCAATCTCTGCCATGTTTTGGTCTGCTGTTGGTTACTAATGACAAAAACATCCCTGGCATTTGGTTTGCTTTGTATATGGAATAATATAGGGGACTAGAGCAGCACATCTAAGACTACCTTCACCCCCAACAGAAAAAGGCTCCACACGTATTCCTCCAACTCTCATTTTACTAGATTAGCTTTTTATCCATTACAGAATCCTGAATTATCATTGGGCTTGGCATCACTTTGCTTTTGTAGCAATCACATAGTCATAATAATCAGTCTGGATAGCCTGTGTGTTGAGCCTAATCGTGTTTATTGCTTCAATTAAACAGTTTATGCCATGATCTCTTAAAATGAGGAATAGTAATACAACATTATTTTGCTTTAGAAATAAAGAATAGCAACAGTGTGTGTATTTATGGAACTACCTACCCATTCATTCATTCATGATTTATTTATTTATTGCTAGTATGTGTATAGTGCTAACAATTTACACAGTCCCCCAGTAGTACAGGATTGCACACAATGGGCCTGATTTACTAAAGTAACACTGTCAGATTGTGCACAAACAAAGAAACTGTATGCTTACAGAATAGACTGTGCACCTGTAATGTACAAAAATGTGCATGCAAAAGTTACAATGTGTTTACATGGAATTTACTATTTAGGTTGCTATGGAATATGTTCTCTGGAGTTCAGATGTCCTCTAACTAAGCTATGGCATACTTTTCATTTTTTCTGATGTTTTTGAGTCTAACTGCTGTTAGCATTTTTAGATATGAATTCCATGTAGGAATAAACAGCTGTCATTGTGAGGACTCCAGAGCCCCCCCCCCCCTTTTTTTTTACTTTAAAGGGATGCAGAGTACTACCCAGTGTAGAGAATTCCATATCCTGGTGCTTTGGGATTCCAATAATGATGCATAGAGATTCCAGTAATGAATATCCATACAAATGGGTCTCTTTTTTCCTATAGCAGCATAGTATAATTTACTGACTGTATTTTGCTATTTAGCTTAGTGCATGTGCATTTCATTAGCTTAATTTTCTTATGAACAATACCTACCCCCTCTATTATGAAGATAAGGAGAGGAGAAGGTGTTCTTTTGTCCAAATTGTCCAAATGCCGCATAATGTGAGGACACTGTTCCTCCATAGACACAGTACGGTGAGTGAGCATTTCTACCCTGGGGCAGGAAATGTGTAACTGGCAGGATTGCCAGATTAAAAAAAAAACCTAAACAAATGAAAACAAATGCTGCTACGACATCTCAGGAGTGGTAAGCTACAATAAATGATATGTGTTTTTGGATTTACCGTATTTTTCGCTCCATAAGATGCACTTTTTCCCCCCCAAAAATGGGGGAAAATGTCTGTGCGCCTTATGGAGCGAATATGGAGCGGCTGGCCCGGTATTCCCCCCGTGTTAGAATATACCAGGCCGGCCGCTTGGCTCTTCTCTGCAGACCTCCACTGGTCCTACCTGTTCCTCGGTCCAGCAGTGTCCTCACAGTCTTCTCTTCCTGGCGCCAGCATGGGCACCCGGCTGTGACAGCTTGCAGCTTCTCAGCTTGCAGCCTCTCAGCTGGGTGGCCACTGTGCATGCGTGAGAAGCGCCGCACTTTGTGAATGGCTCTGTAATCTTCTGAGACCTGTCACGTGTCCCAGAAGATTATAGGGAGGGAGAGGGAAGGACAACTCCGCGGAAGTGGGAGTGGATACCTGTCAAATTTGGGTACCCACTCCCTCCCTCCACTCCCTAAAGGTCTGCAGTCTCTGGTGTTCTGTACTGTGTCCGCAGTCTCTGGTCATCCCCTGTACCGTGTCTGCAGTCTTTGGTCATCCCCTGTACTGTGTCCACAGTCTCTGGTCATCCCCTGTACCATGTCCGCAGTCTCTGGTCATCTTCTGGAACGTGTCCGCAGTCTCTGGTCATCTTCTGTACCGTATCCACAGTCTCTGGTCATCCCTTGTACTGTGTCCACAGTCTCTGGTAATTTCCTGTACCATGTCCGCAGTCTCTGGTCATCTCCTGTACCGTGTCCGCAGTTGCTGGTCATCTCCTGTACCATATCCGCAGTCTCTGGTCATCTCCTGTACTATGTCTGCAGTCTCTTGTCTTCTGTGCTATATCCGCAGTCTCTGGTCATCTCCTGTACTGTGTCCGCAGTCTCTGGTCATCCCCTGTACCGTGTCCGCAGTCTCTGGTCATCCCCTGTACCGTGTCCACAGTCTCTGGTCATCCCCTGTACCGTGTCCGCAGTCTCTGGTCATCTTCTGTACCGTGTCCGCAGTCTCTGGTCATCTTCTATACCGTGTCCGCAGTCTCTGGTCATCTCCTGTACCGTGTCCGCAGTCTCTGGTCATCCCTTGTACTGTGTCCACAGTCTCTGGTCATTTCCTGTACCATGTCCGCAGTCTCTGGTCATCTCCTGTACCATGTCCGCAGTCGCTGGTCATCTCCTGTACCATGTCCGCAGTCTCTGGTCATCTCCTGTACTATGTCTGCAGTCTCTTGTCTTCTGTACTATATCCGCAGTCTCTGGTCATCTCCTGTACTGTGTCCGCAGTCTCTGGTCATCCCCTGTACTGTGTCCGCAGTCTCTGGTCATCCCCTGTACCGTGTCCACAGTCTCTGGTCATCCCCTGTACCGTGTCCGCAGTCTCTGGTCATCTTCTGTACCGTGTCCGCAGTCTCTGGTCATCTTCTGTACTGTGTCCGCAGTCTCTGGTCATCTTCTGTACTGTGTCCACAGTCTCTGGTCATCCCTTGTACTGTGTCCACAGTCTCTGATAATTTCCTGTACCATGTCCGCAGTCTCTGGTCATCTCCTGTACCATGTCCGCAGTCTCTGGTCATCTCCTGTACCATGTCCGCAGTTGCTGGTCATCTCCTGTACCATGTCCGCAGTCTCTGGTCATCTCCTGTACTATGTCTGCAGTCTCTTGTCTTCTGTACTATGTCCGCAGTCTCTGGTCATCTCCTGTAACATGTCCGCAGTCTCTGGTCATCTCCTGTACCATGTCCGCAGTCTCTGGTCATCTCCTGTATCTGCAGTCTCTGGTCTTCTGTACTATGTCCGCAGTCTCTGGTCATCTCCTGAACTATGTCTGCAGTCTCTGGTCATCGCCTGTACTATGTCTGCAGTCTCTGATCATCTCCTGTACTATATCTTCAGTCTCTGGTCATCTCCTGTACTATGTCTGCAGTCTCTGGTCATCTCCTGTACTATGTCCGCAGTCTCTGGTCATCTCCTGTACTACGTATGTCCGCAGTCTCTGATCATCTCCTGTACTATGTCTACAGTCTCTGGTCATCTCCTGTACTATGTCTCTAGTCTCTGGTCATCTCCTATACTATGTCCTCAGTCTCTGGTCATCTCTTGTACTATGTCCGCAGTCTCTGGTCATCTCCTGTACTATGTCTACAGTCTCTGGTCATCTCCTGTACTATGTCTCTAGTCTCTGGTCATCTCCTATACTATGTCCTCAGTCTCTGGTCATCTCTTGTATTATGTCCGCAGTCTCTGGTCATCTCCTGTACTATGTCTGCAGTCTCTGGTCATCTCCTGTACTATGTCTTGCAGTCTCTGGTAATCTCCTGTACTATGTCTGTAGTCTCTGGTCATCTCCTGTACTATGTCCTCAGTCTCTGGTCATCTAATGTACTATGTCTGCAGTCCATTGGTTCAGGATATTTTTTTTTCCTGTTTTCCACCTCTAAAATCTAGGTGCGTCTTATGGTAAGGTGCGTCTTATGGAGCGAAAAATACGGTATATAAGCGTTAAATCTCAATTGTCATATTACCTGGCAATGTCCAATAGTTCATTCACCTCCAAAACAGGATTGGAATTTAGGAAGGTTTTCAAGCAATCCATAAAGAAAATACTGTCAGCAACTGACTCATTAAGAAGCTAGATCAATTCAATATTGAAAAGCTCTATTAAAATGAGATTAAACCTCAGACGCAGAAGGAAGAGAGCTTTTCTTTCAATTTATTAGGAATAATATATTACCTATGATTAAGATTAGAGATGAGCGAATTATTCAAAAATTCGATTCGGCTGATTTGGCGAATTCGCGGAATAAATTCGATTCGAGTCGAATATATTTGCTGCGAATTTAACTTATAAAAAGGGTGTTTCTAGGCTTCAGAGAGCCTTTATATTAGTGCAGAACACTGTACCTTTAATTTAAATGCCCTTGGAGTCTGCTGGGGAAGAGAAATAATACTGTCAGTCAGTATGACATGCAGATGAGTGCCGTCGATCTTAGAATCACCGCACACTTCACTCATTTGGGCAGTCACGGGGCCAAAACCAGAGTGTGGAGCCACAGTGTGGCGGTGGAGGCAGCAGCAATGGGAGGCCATACAGCACCCTATGAAAAAATGGAACCCACCAGCAGTGTGAGGAGACTTGAAAGTGGCACATGACAGAGTGTGGCGATGGAGACAGCAGCAATGGGAGGCCGTACAGGGACCCATGACACACTCTGGACCTGGCAGCAGCATGAGGAGGCGGTACAGGGGCCCATGACAGATTACGGGCCTGGCAGCAGCATGAGGAGTCGGTACGGGGGCCCATGGCAGATTACAGGCCTGGCAGCAGCAATGGGAGGCCCGTAATCTGCCAGCACCCTATGACAAAATGGAACCCACCAGCAGTGTGAGGAGACCTAAAAGTGGCACATGGCAGAGTGTGGTGATGGAGACAGCAGCAATGGGAGGCCGTACAGGGACCCATGACACACTCTGGACCTGGCAGCAGCATGAGGAGGCGGTACAGGGGCCCATGACAGATTACGGGCCTGGCAGCAGCATGAGGAGTCGGTACGGGGGCCCATGGCAGATTACGGGCCTGGCAGCAGCAATGGGAGGCCCGTAATCTGCCAGCACCCTATGACAAAATGGAACCCACCAGCAGTGTGAGAGGAGACCTGAAAGTGGCACATGGCAGAGTGTGGCGATGGAGACAGCAGCAATGGGAGGCCGTACAGGGACCCATGACACACTCTGGACCTGGCAGCAGCATGAGGAGGCGGTACAGGGGCCCATGACAGATTACGGGCCTGTCAGCAGCATGAGGAGTCGGTACGGGGGCCCATGGCAGATTACGGGCCTGGCAGCAGCAATGGGAGGCCGTACAGGGACCCATGACACACTCTGGACCTGGCAGCAGCATGAGGAGGTGGTACAGGGGCCCATGACAGATTATGGGCCTGGCAGCAGCATGAGGAGTCGGTACGGGGGCCCATGGCAGATTACGGGCCTGGCAGCAGCAATGGGAGGCCCGTAATCTGCCAGCACCCTATGACAAAATGGAATCCACCAGCAGTGTGAGGAGACCTGAAAGTGGCACATGGCAGAGTGTGGCGATGGAGACAGCAGCAATGGGAGGCCGTACAGGGACCCATGACACACTCTGGACCTGGCAGCAGCAAGAGGAGGCGGTACAGGGGCCCATGGCAGAGTGGCGAAGCGTAAGCAGCTTAAATTGAAGGCCATACAGAGGCCTATGTTAAAAATAATAACATGTTTGGGGCATGATTCATGGCGGATTTAGTCAGTTGTGTCAGGAACTGGTGGTTTGAAATCCAGACTAATCCACGCCTGATTCATTTTCACAAACGTGAGTCTCTCCACACTTTGGGTGGACAGTCGTGTCCTCCGCGGAGTTACAATACCTCCTGCCGCACTAAACACGCGCTCCGATGCCACGCTACTGGCCGGGCATGACAGCCTTTCAAGGGCAAATTCAGCTAGTTGGGGCCAAAGGTCAAGTTTCGTTGCCCAGTAGTCAAGGGGATTGTCTACCTCGGTTGGCAGGGTGCTGTCCAAGTAGGCCCAAGCCTGTTGTTTGAGGTCCTGCTCCAGGTCCACCTGATGCTGCTGCGGCTGGTTAGTAGTTTCCTCACTGCGCTGGTGAAGAAAGCTACTCATCATCGACTGCAGACTGAGGCAGCCGCTGCTGGTGGAGCTGCCACTGCTCCTACCACCCCACCCCTCCCCTGCTGCCAAGGCAGCGGAACGCGAGCGCACAGGGCCCACAGTGTCTGAGGATGGACGTTGGCGCAGAAAGGCAGAGACCAACTGACTACATAGGTGGTTTTTATAGTACTTTATTTTGGCCTCCCTCTCAGCAGGTGTGAAAAAGGCCACCATTTTTGAACGGTAGCGAGGGTCCAACAAGGTGGACAGCCAAAAGTCATCCCTCTGTCTGATGGTTATTATTCGGCTGTCGCTACGCAAGCAACCGAGCATGCTATGGGCCATTTGTGCCAAGGAATGCGAGGGACTCCCTGCCTCCATCTCCACAGCATACTGCCACGGTGCGTCTGGGTCCTCTGTCTCCTCCTCCTCTACCAGATGCTCCTGCTCCTCCACTCCTGTCCGCTGAGTGAAAAAACCACCCATTTCACTCAATAATTCCTGAGCACCAATGTCCTCCTCTACCTCCTCCTCTTCTTCCTGTCCTGCCCCCACAGGGGTCATGTGGCGTTGAGATCTGTGCGCCACGTCTACCGCACCCCTGACCAGCCATTGTTAACAGCATTTGTTCCAGGACGTGCAACAGAGGAATGACGTCGTTCATCCCATAGTCCTGCCGACTCACTAATAGCGTGGCCTCCTCAAAGGGCCTGAGCAAGCGGCAGGTGTCACGCATGAGCTGCCAATGGCTGACATCTAAGTTACACAGGGGAGTACCTTTATCCGCTTGTAACATCAGGAAATCGGTGATGGACTTTCGCTGTTCGTAAAGGCGGTCTAACATATGTAGGGTTGAATTCCACCTTGTTGCAACGTCGCAGATCAGGCGATGCTGTGGAATTCCGTTCTGCCGCTGCAGCTCAAGGAGGGTGTGCTTTGCGGTGTAGGAATGGCTGAAATGCATGCAAAGTTTACGTGACATTTTAAGGATGTCTTGCAGTGGGATGGTGGATTTTAGGAACCGCTTGACAACCAGATTGAACACGTGAGCCATGCATGGCGCATGGCACAACCTTCCTTGACGCAGAGCAGACACCATGTTCTTTCCGTTGTCGGTCAACATGGTTCCGATTTTCAGTTTGCGCGGAGACAGCCATCTGTCGATTTCTCTGTTCATTACACTCAGAAGTTCCTACCCTGTGTGACTACGTTCGCCAAGGCATACCAGGTGCAGCACAGCGTGACACCGTTGCGCCCTGCACATGTGATATGCCGGTCGGGTAATGGGACTTGGCACGGGGGTGGCGGCTGAGGACACGGCGGAAGAAAAGGTGGTAGAGGCAGACATCTTTGCTGGACCAAGGACGTGCAAACGTGGAGGCAAAAGCGGCGTGACCTGTCCAAGTTGCTGGTGCGGCTATGCCGGCACCACGTTCACCCAGTGGGCCATAAATGACATGTACTGTCCCTGACCGTAGTTACAGCTCCACACGTCGGCGCTGCCGTGCACTTTGGCAGAGACCGACATGCTCAAAGACTGGCCCACCATCTCTTCTACATGTGAATGCAGGGCTGGCACTGCCTTTTTGGCGAAGAAATGCCGGCTTGGCACTCTCCACCGTGGCGCGGCACAAGCCATCATTTCTCGGAAAGGTGCTGAGTCCACCACTTGGAAAGGGAGGGACTGCAGCACCAGCAACTTGGACAGGAGGACGTTCAGCTTCTGCACCGTCGGGTGCGTGCTCGCAAACTGTTGTCTCTTGGAAACGGATTCCAAGAAAGACTGCTGACGGAATCCGTGAAGAGGAGTAGCAGGAGAAGGAGCATCTGAACGAGCGGAAGATGCCAACGAGCGACAACTCCCCTCAGCAGAGGTGTTGGAGCCTTGACTGGCTAATAGAGGGCGATTGACGTCGGGTGACGGAGCAAGTAACGGAGCGGGTGATGGAAC